TCTTACCCCTTCCCCACTTTGCCTGCTTTAGTCACTGGAACTCCCTCCAAGGATCAGCTGTGTTTTTGAAGCTGTTTTTCAGCCCAAACACAAGCTAAGCAATCTTCCATGCTTTGCCTGCTTTTCTAATTGCTGCTCCCTCTGACAATCAGCTGTGCTTTAGAAGCACAGCCCCCACCATCCCCAACCTCGAAACCAGCAAGCGAACTAATGTGCTGAAGGTCACCAGGCTAAGGACTAGCCAGATGAATACCTGGTAGGCAGAATTCCCCCCCCCCATTTTCCTCTCCAAAAATTAAGGTGTGTCTTATACTCTGGTGCATCTTATACTCCCCAAAATATGGCATATCTCAGTAGACACTTGTAAGACATGCCTATTGATTGGTGAACCTATGACATGAGTGCCACAGGTGGCACGCAGAGCCATATTTGCCAGCACGACAGCCCTTGGCAGCCCTCCGCTTCAGCACACATGCGTGTGCCGGCCATCTGATCTTTCACCCTCCCCAGGCTTCAGGAAAGCTTCTGGAGCCTAGAGAGGGGGGAAAATCAGGCCCAATGGGCCAACTGAAAGTTTGGAAATGAGCTTCCGATTGGCCCATTGGGCCTGTTTTTTCCCTCCCCAGGCTCCAGAAACTTTCTTGAAGCCTAGGGAGAGTGCAAATGGTCTCCCTCGGCCCCCCAGAGGCCTCTGGAGGGCCACGGGAGGCTGTTTTTACGTTACCCAGGCTTCAGGAAATACTCCCCTATGGGAGTTGCTCGCACGTGTGCAGTAGGGGGGCTGCTCGGGCATGTGCAGATGGGGAGGCACTCATGCAGGTGGGCAGGCAGATGCGCGCAATAGCGTGCACACACACAGTTTTGTCACATCTTTAGAAAAAGGTTAGCCATCACTGGGCCATTTGATTCATACCAATTTATATCGACGAACAGATACTAAAGCATCTTCTCAAAAATATATATATTATACAGAATGCAGAAAAAAGCCATACCCAAAAATAGGTTTTGGTATGTGTTCTTTTAAATACGTTTCCCAGTCATGCTGTACTTCATACTGTTTGAGCAGATGAAATTTTGAATGTTATGCTAAACTGTACATTTTGTATCAATAACTATTATCAAGAGAAATGGGAAATAATCACACATAGAGCTTATTATTAGATGGGAATCAAATATCATGACATCAAATGATTTTCTGGTTCATTACCATGTGTATTTCTTAATAGTGATTATGTATATCACTGAAAATATTCTGTATGTTTGCAAAATTCTGGAATATTGCTAATTCCAAAAACAACTTGGATGCTACTTTTGGCAGTCTTTTTCTAAAGGATAATCCAGAGAGAGGCCACATTGTAGTACTCTATCACAGGGGTCCCCAACCCCCAGGCCGCAGTCCAGTACCAGGCCATTTCAGAACTGGACTGTTGAAGCGGCAGGTGAGCGTGGGCGCAGCTCCATTTATGTGAGCGGTGGGTGTATGTGCCCGCCACTCACACAAATGGAGTCATTCACTTGTGTGCACATGCCCTCCACTTGCATGTAACCATTTCCTCCCCCCTCCACCAGTCCGCAAAGCCAGGGGATCACTGCTCTGCTACTATAAGCTACAGAAATACACGTCTTTATAATATCTTAGTTCATTTGTCCAGGCATTATTTAAGAGGACATTAACTATATTTTACACACGTTTTTAAAGGAGGAAGATGAAATGGAAGATGAAAGGACAGGGTTGGATGAAGACGCTACTGTAATTGCCAGTAGAGATAGTGCAACAAACCAAATCAAAAAAAGCAAGTTCCAGTTTACCACATCTAGCTACAGTCAGGAAAGGATGGAAACAAAATTCAGTGAAGATGGAATACCGAGATATTTCACAGAAGAGAAATACTTACATGATCGCTCCAAAGCAACTTTTGATCAAACTTTTCCACCTTTCACTGAAGGACTAAAAGAGGAAGAGAATAACCCCATGGAATTTCAAGCAGCAACAGCAATTGTTCCTCCTGCAAGCAGCTCCACCAAAGGTAATGAGGAAGAGTATGCACACACTTTTTCTGGCAATGAAACAACCAGAGAATCTGCTGCTGATAGTAATGAAGATGATATAGAGGTATCTGCTTTTAAGCCTGACCTAGAAACTGATGACTCTTGGGGTTCCATTCCTATCACCTCTGCTACCCGGTTAGTTACTTTGGAGACATCTCAGGAAAATACGTTTAGTTCTGGAAGTCCAGACACAACCACACAGGATGATCTTTCTCAAAACTATGTCAAAATTCTATCAGATGACATGTTACCCTCAAAAGCAGAAGAATCTGCCCCCAAAATATCTGCAATCAATGAAAATGAGTGGTATCCTAATAGCACAGATAGTACTGCTGTTGCATTGGATAGCAAGGATCTTTCTAACGTTAATTCCCCTATTCCTACAACAGCACTTTATCCTAATGATCCCGAGGGGCCACAAGATACTTCAGTTGCAGTTACAGTATTGCTACATTCTTCTACCTTTGCTCTCTCCTCTTCTGAGTTATCATCTTACTCTGTCTCATCAAATTCTGAAGAACGTGGCTCTGCTTCTTCTGGAAGTGAGGTACTCTCTCAGACAACTCAAGCAGTTTATAATGGTGAGATACCACTTCAACCTTCCTACAGTAGTGAAGTGTTTCCTCTAGTCACCCCTTTATTGTCTGACACTCAGTTGCTCAACATTTCCCCTGAAGCATCAAGTAGTGATGTGACCTTGCATGCTACACCTGTATTTCCCAGTGTTGGTATGTCATTTGAATCCACCTTGTCTTCCTATGATGATGTACCTCTGCTTCCATTTTCCTCTGCTTCCTCCAGTAGTAAAATGTTTCACCATTTATATATGGTTTCTCAAACATTTCCACAAGTTGCTCCAGCTATTGAAAATGATAAAGGGTCTCTGCATGCTTCTTTGACATTGGAGGAGGGTGGCACATTAACCAAATCATGGCTCACTCAGTTTTCTGATGTGACATCATATCAGATGGTCCATGCTACTTCAGAGACATTGGGATTTGGCCATGATAGAACTCACTTGTTATCTCAAGTGGAGCCACCCAGCAATGATTTCAATGGGCATGAAGTGTCTACAATGTCTGAATCTGTTTATGCTTTATCTGGTAATATGGGTTCTCCTCAAACTGTTGCTGCTTCTTATCACACGTCTGAATTTGTGCATGAGTCTGTTGGCACATTTCATCATGGTCCATTGTTTAGCATCTATAGCAATATGCCGGTGCCTAAGCCTTCTTCTGCAGTCTCGCAAGCTGATACTTTTCTGCAGCCTCCATGTTTTCTTTCTAGTGAAACGGATTGCTCTGAGGCTCATTCTGGTAGTGAGTCCCTTTTGCCTGACACAGATATTTGGTCGGTACTGAAAGCTTCTTCGCATGTTTCTTCCAGTGAAGTAATGTGCAGCACACCTGTATTCACAGGTGAAGTTGAGATGACTCCCCAAAATGGTGTAATGCATGGATATGACAAAGGACTGCAAATTTCTGCTTCTCATACTGGAAATGAAATGACTGAACCTCCTCCATCCATTTCTAATTATGAGATTCCTAAGCAGGATACACGTCCTCAAGAAAGCCTCATTACTGTCTCTAGTGCAAAGGGAATCCTGCCAGGATCTATTGCTTTTCCTGCTACTAAGGTGTTTGATTATTATGTTAGTAAGCGCTTGGAAAATGTTCCTATTCGGTCTTTGCATGTTGCAACTCCGGTCTTTGATGACACTTTGCTTAAGCCTATGCTTAGTGCAAACTCACAGCAAGCTTCCTCTACCCCTGCTTCTAGCAAAACACTGCCTTCTCCCAGCCAGCAGTACTTTTACTGGGCTTCAGCTACCCTAAATAATATTTCATTGCTGCAAACCTCATTTCAATCCTCCAATGATGATACAGTGCGTAAAACATCTGTGCCTGATGATCCAGTACTGGTTGAAAATGTTACAAATGGTCATAGTAGTAATTTTGTTTTTAACCAAATATTGCCTCAAATAGCCACAAATGCAGCTGAATATAAAAAAGTATTGCATTCTACATCAAAACCATCTGCTGTAAATATATCCCATACTGTTGGTAAGGCTTTCAGTTCGCCAGAAAGTTTAACGTTTCCCCATATAAGTGATGAGTACATCTCTCCCTATTTGCATAAGAGTGAAGACATACAACAGGTTTCTCCTTCCTTGTATAATAATGGTGTGCCGTATCCACCAACCAATTTTGAAAATAAAAATGCTTTCCCCTTGAATGCAGTGAATACAGTGACTATTCCTATTGGGCCAACTGAAATGTTGCCAAATGCAGCTACCTTTGCTCACAATCTTCCAAATGATTGGCCAAAGGCTGAGTCTCTCACTTTATCCTCAAGTGCTAAGATAGTTGATGTGACATTTTCTATGCCTGAAGTAATCGCTGATTCTATTCAGCATGCGTCTATCAATGCACCAGATACACATAGATCTCTTACGGCTGATTCTTCCAGCAGTGAAGGCAGCAAAAGTTTAAACCCTCTATTAATTCCCACTCAATTGCTCCCCACAACCAGTTCTGATCGTGAACCATGGTCTTCTCTGGTTGATCATGAATACGATGAGTATGATAGTGGCTTGCCTGTAAGTGGTTGTCACACATGCATTTCCAACAGAGAAACTCGGGAAGAGGTAGATGAGCCAGCTACTGACCTAAACAATGCAAACAGTCATCAGAACATAATTAGAAAACTACATTTTGAAAGGCCTCAGAAAAAGGAAGCGAAGAAAATCCTTAGTTCTCTGTCAGACCATACAGTTACTGAGGAGACTGATCAACTCAAGCAAGCGTCAGTTCCCGCCATGGCCCCAAACAGGAAGATGAAGAAGCACGGTGATCAGGCTTTACTGGATAATTCTGCTCAGACTCTTAGCAACCCATTGCCAAGAACATTAGAATCTAAATCTTGGTCAGTTTTTACCAGTGATGAAGAAAGTGGTTCTGGCCCAGGTACCTCAGATAGCATAAATGAGGAGATGTCAACAGATTTCAGTTTCTTTGGTGTTAATGAACATGACTTGGAAGGGGTGGTTGGAACAGGTAACTCAGAATTAACTCCTGGACTGCAAGAGTCATCAATAGAATTCATATCTAGAGCTGTCTCCACAGTCTTCAACATTTCTGAGGCAGGTTAGTTGTGGGTGGGTATTCATGATTTGCATAGCTACAGCAGCCTTCTAATTTGATTTTAATATCTTTTTAAAGAGAATTCGGTGGATTGTAGGGCAATACTATGAGAAGGCCCATGTTCATTCAAAACAATGTATTCTCTGAATCTAGGAAATGTTCATTAATATGACACTTTTTGGAGATTGTGTGAAATATTTTCTTTATGTTAGCTTACATTCTAATATAATACAAAAGAAAAAATGAAGGGGGATGGGAAGAAAACAAAGCATCAGTATTGACTTTTAGAGCTATGCATTGATTTTATAATATTCAGCTGGAATAGCTGATGATAAGACAATTCTTGGTAAGGAAAAGTTTTTTATTTCAATTGTTTTGGCCTAAAGGCTTTGCTATCTGCTCTCACACTAAAACTGAAAGAAGAATTAAATATCTTTCTCTATATCAACATGACTTAATTTAAAATAAACACTAGGGAACTAAAATCAGTTTTTTATTCACATGATATAATGCAATGTGAAAATTATGGTCTCATATGATACAGATTTATATTAAATTTGGTAAATTGAGTGTAAACTGCACTCTGAAGCTGTACCTGTAGAGGGCAGTATTATATAACCTTTTATCTTTTGTGTGTAGGAAAGAATTGTGTATTTAAGTTTTTGAGACTTCAGCCTCACATACAACAATTTGAGCTACTGTGCATGATTGTAAGGCTAAAAATTCTGAGGAATACCATTTATTTTATTTTTCTTCTTTTTACCTTCACTGAAATGATGTTATGGGTATTCAGCATAGAGTTTAGATCATTGCATGAAATATTCACCATAGGAACAATCCAGTAAAATGTATATCCATATGTCACACTGACTGAACAGCTTTCCAATAGTATCATTAATCAGATTATTGACAATTTGTATAAAGGGTAGAAATGAAATATACAAAGAGAGATTTTAAAAGTTAAGTGAGGACAATACATTTAATTTAATCTAATTAACAATATAGTATGTTGTGTGCATTTCACCCTAAGCAGCCATTAAAGGATACATTAGAAATGTTGCATGCTATGCTTCATGGGAAGTAACCTTTGATTTTTCTGCCTCTTCCTGGTATTATAACAGTATTTCCTTCTACTCTGCTTTATTTTTATTTCAGCAGAGCAGCAGTTAAACATTAATGTTTTCTATGAAGCGGTATTTTGCTAATCAACTAGAAATGCACATAAAATCCAAGTACAAGAAATAGGAGTGTTGAGTAAGCCTGAAGTTGTGTAAATGGTTTTTAAGTGTCCTTCATGCACACGAGAGACCATCTATCTCTTCATGGATTTTCAACTCTAAATGAATGGATCGAATATTAGACTTACCTATGGCTGTGGCTGAGAGACTTTATTTATTTAGCAGTTTACAATAAAACAAAACGTAAAATTCAGTGACCTAGGCATTTGACTCTAAACCATATGTATGAGTAAAGCTTTTTTGTCCCTAAATAAATGAGGTGTCCCATTGCAGGGGTCTCCAACCTTGGCAACTTTAAGACTTGCGGACTTCAATTCCCAGAGTTCCTCAGCCAGCTGAGGAACTCTGGGAGTTGAAGTCCACAAGTCTTAAAGTTGGCAAAGTTGGAGATTTCTGCCCCATTGTAGTGATTCATAATTGCAGAATGATGGGGCTCCCTTTGAAGCAGCAGGGTCTGCACGTATAAGCTATTTTCTGAAGGGCCAGCAGCAGCACAGCTTGCAGCTTGGGTGGAGCAGCACTTACAGGTTGTTATTGCACAAATCCAGACAACTATAAGACAACAAAGAGCCGAGGTGGCGCAGTGGTTAGGGTGCAGTACTGCAGGCCACTTCAGCTGACTGTTATCTGCAGTTCAGCGGTTNTATAGAGTACAATCTACTAGACAGTTGTGGAACCTTTACAGAATCTTACATTGTGGTATTCAGACAATGCTTAACAATTAATTTTCAGTTGTTTTCTTCGTAACTATGGATGAGCAGAAGTGTTAGAATGTTTAAAATTGTATATTTTTATATTAAGTTAATTTGAAAGCCTTTTCTTGTCAGTGGAATTTTGTGTGACTAAAGAAATATAAAATATAACTTTATATGAAATACAGAAAGTAATAAATATGGTTTATGAATTTAAATCATTTCAGGGAGCAATTCTGAATAATCTACTTCCCAATACGAGTTATATTCTTCAGATAGTTGCTATTTGTGCTAACGGTCTGTATGGAAAGTACAGTGATCAAGTTATTGTTGACATGCCTTTAGATGACCCAGGTAAGTTTACAAAGGTAAATTTTACTTTAAAATCCACAATTGTCTTTTATTTGCAAACCAGCGCAAAACACAATGCAATGGTATTTCTATATCAGTGTTCTTCACCTTAAATATTTCATTTTCTGAGATATTTCAAAGATTCCTTTGAAATGTTAGAACCAGATTTATTGTTTTAGGATAAATATAATATCTGAGAGTCTACAATAAGCTTTATTATGAGCTGATACCAAATATATGCCTATGATTACTTTTAAAAGTATTAAATTAATTCTAGATTCAGATTCCTACTCAACATAATTCCAATTGGAGAAAAAATAATAAGTGTCTGTGATTAAAAGAATGTATAAAACATGAGTAATTTTTATTTATTAAGCAAAGGCCTGATGGCATAGGATACAGTAATTAACAAATTCTGTTCTTATGATTCTGAAATTCCATTGCATGTGACTTTTCTAAATGAGATCAGTGGTGATGGAATTCCCTTGCTTCTTAATGTTGAATTGCTGAAATCAGACTAACAATTAATTGCACTTATTTCAAAACTTTATTTTCACTCTTGAAAGACATAATACTCACTTGTTTCACCTGTTTCCCACTGAAATGAATATGATCCAATTTGGCAGGTAGTATCTATTGTATTGTCACTAATTTCTTAAAAATGTTCAGCTTTCATGTAAAACAATAGTGCTATTGCACATTTGCTGAAAGGACTAAATTTCTGTGAAATATTCTTTTAGCAAATGCACCATGATGACTCAGAACCATAAATATGCTTGTATTTAACAAAAAAATTTCCAGCAGAACAAATTATCCCTTTTTTCTCATAGATGCTCTTCTTACAGACCTTTCTGTTTTAAATCTGGTTCAGAAAGGTTGGTGAACTTTCAGGATTCAACAAGAGAACAAAAATCCATTCATGAAAGACTGAATTTGCTCCCTTGCTTGTTGTAAAGTTTTGTTGTTGTTTTTAAAGAATATATTTCCAAACAGCTTTAAGTTGATAGTTTTTTACTCTCTTTTTTCAATCAGAGTAGCATGAATTCAATCAGAGTAGCATGAATTAATAAGATTAATTAATTGATTAATTAGTAAGATTAAATTTATTTGTTATTCTCTTTACCAATAAAGAACTCATAAACCTATCCAACATTTGTTTTCTTCCAGGCAAGGAAGTGTGACATTAGGAAACTTCTTTGTTATAGAAAGCTCGAGAAACTATTTTGTCCTAGGCAGACTTATTGTGAAGAACTTGAAAAAGCTTCTATTGCATTTCAGAGTCTTTCTTCTTGTCCCCTTTTGTGTCTTCTCAAACGAGACACATCCTGATTTTTCAGCCTGGTTTCTGGTTTATGCAAATAAAGTTCACTTGCATTTATTTCTTCATCAGTATTCAAGGGAGACCTGGCTCTTCATTGTGAGCTAATGCTGTGTTCAGTGTTTTGTTGGTAATGCAAGAATATGCAAAACTTTATCAGTGAGTGCTTTTAAAAAAGAAGAGAAGCAGTATTTATTTATTTAAAGCATAAAGATTTTGGCTGGAAGCCACCCAGTGAAATTTTTATATTTTATAATTTTATATAATTAAATAAAAGTGTAGGATCTGAAAATATGCACTTTTAAAAAGAGGAATAGAAAAGGGAAAGGTGAATACGTTCAGGCATCACTTCTCCATGGTTATAACATTTCCCAAAAAATAACCTCCCTGGATAATAAGCCCTCCCCAAAATTATTGCAATACAGCAGCTCCTGTTCCCCCAAAATAAGGCCAAGTCCTTATTTGAGGGGTCAAAAGAAAATAAGACCCTTATTACGGGAAAACACAATAGTTTGCAAAAGCAATATCTGTAAGAGAGTGCTGTAATTGTGACTAATGGATGAAATAGAAAAATATTTAAACNGGGGCGATATGCTGACTCTGTAAACCGCTTAGAGAGGGCTGAAAGCCCTATGAAGCGGTATATAAGTCTAACTGCTATTGCTATTGCTAACACAACTGAGAATTTTCTGTAGCTCTTGGATGCCACCCAGAGTTCATATTATGTAGCACAGAATAAGGCTGGTCACTGTGCCATCCACAGCCCTCCTCTGCCGGTGACTAATTCTATCTCCATTCTGCAAACCTAGGCAAATGCCAAGGTACTTCTGTGAGTGTGCACTAGTCTTTTAGCAGACCGTGATGTGGGGTGTTAGAATGAAGATCCAGGATGGGCTGCAATTCTTGCAGATCCCAAGGTGATCATCATCCCTGCCTCGACTGCGTTTATGTCACTGACTTTAAACAGAAATACCTGTTATTCCAAATGTGCAGGATTGTAGTAAGTACATGAATATTGGCAAGGAGGATGATCTCATTAATAGCATTCCTTTAGAAGTAGGGAAAAAAATAGCAGATTTTTTGTGTTGCTCTATAAATGGCCTTTAAATGCAGTCCATTATTCTCCATTCACTATATGGTACTCTTTATGTTTGCAAGGCTCCTAAATACCCCAGAATCTTCAGTGGAGGAAAAAAACTCTTCAATGCTTTTACATGTTTTGATTTTTTTTTTTCTGCATTAAAACCACATGGAAATTCTAATCAGATTATGCCGGTCAGATCTGTGTGAATAAGACAAATTTGAAAGTAGAAGGATCAGTTGTCCTGAACAGATTCTTGACAGTCAATAGATTATTACAAAGGCTGCTTACCTTTTTTTGGCTATGCATTTTGATGTATGAAATCTACAGTTTATCTCCTTCCATTGTCAATAATATAAATTCAGAAATCTGAATACGTTTTTAAAAAAAACCTCAATTGCTTTACAGGCATTAAGATGTTCTGTTCAGTCTTGTATTGCTGATTGCTTAAAATAGAGAAGCATAATGTTATTTTAGATGCTAATACATGTGGGACGCAATGGTTCAGTGGCTAAGATGCTGAACTTGTTTATCAGAAAGGTCGGCAGTTCAGCAGTTCGGATCCCTAGCACCGCATAACAGAGTGAGCTCCTGTTATTTGTCCCAGCTTCTGCCAACCTAGCAGTTCAAAAGTACCTAAAATGAAGGTAGAAAAATAGGGACCACTTTGGTGGGAAGGTAACAGTGTCCCATGTGCCTTCCGCGTTTAGTCATGCCGGCCACATGACTATGGAAACATCTTCGGACAGCGCTGGCTCTTCGGCTTTGAAACGGAGATGAGCACCGCCCCCTAGAGTCAGGAACGACCAGCACATATGTGCAAGGAGAAACTTTACCTTTACATGTGTGCAGTTGGGTATGAATAATGACTGCCTTTTTCCCTTGGGATTTTGTGAAAGTTTATGTGCACCCATCTCTTGCACAGCACCTACTTTTTAATGATGTTACAGTGAACAAAGTGCTATTTGGTTTAGATTCCATACAAGCTGTATCAGTCTTTCTCCTTTCCCTTTCTTTCTTTCTTTCTTTCTTTCTTTCTTTCTTTCTTTCTTTCTTTCTTTCTTTCTTTCTTTCTTTCCCTTTTTTGGTCTTTCCAAATCTGCTTAGCAGGATCACTGACCTCTTTACAGAAGGAGAAATCCATTTTGCTAGCCATATCAATTCTGTTGATTGTTGGACGTAACTCCATGGACCACACAACATCTTCTTGAAATCATTGTCAGGATCTCTTAAGTGTAATAATAATTTACAATTGATCCTCATTTTTTTTAAAAAAAAATCAGGGCTTATTTCTCTAGTCTTGTGATAGAATATAAATACAGACTTTTCCATCAAGTTGGGTACTTACTAAAATATAAACTACAAAATTTGGCCAAGAAATGCATTTTCTATTTGTCTTGATAGAATCATTTATTTCAGATAATAGGTTTTCAAATTTGGCACCCTGTCATGCTGTCCTCCCCATCCCATTATTATTACTGTTTTCATTTTCAACCAAGAGCTCAGATATATGTATGGGTTCCACAAATGCATTTATATTGTCATTGCTGTGAAATTTACTTAGAAATACTTCACAATATGTGCCTGTGTCTCGAGACTATGTTAATACTTCAAATATACTCTATGAAGACTTAGAAGATTATAATTTTAGCTTCTAGCGTCTACTCTTCTCAATAGATCATTACAATATATTGAGCTTTTATGGAAACATTTATAATTACAGAAGAATACCTGCCGTTTGATGTCAATATATTAATGAAGAAAAGCAGACATTTTGATACAAAACATTCTACAAGTTCTCCTGGAAGAAAGGTTAAGCCTGGTCTATTTCTAGCTTGTATTATTATAATAATAAAATCCTATTTTTTATGGGAGTTGCCTTAATGCAGGTCTGATCTTCAACGAAGAGCATATTCAAAACCTTTAATTATAAAGTATGAGTAAAGACTAAAATGGTAAGTTAGAAACAGTAATTGCATCTTATCAGCATTAAACTATAGGGAAACATATATGAAATTATTTTTATTGTTTCTTACCATAAGTAAATAAAGTACATGGTTACTTTATTATTCTGGATTGAATCAAACGTGATTTTTTTTTTCACCATAAAGATCATGAATGGCAAATTTGGACTCTGAGGGGGTTCAGCTGCTTAAGCGTGACTTCTCCTGCTTTGCTGCCTTTTCTGTCTATTTCCCTTAAACTGGTTTGCAAATGTACATGTGCTGTCTATGTATACACACGTTCACACACATTTTGCTCTGTGTGCTAAAGCATTGGGGTAAGTGACAATAACCTAGGGTTCTGAAATCATGGCCAGTTATGTGGTGTCTTTTTGCCAAAGTTTAAATATAGGCTGTTTCAATTTTCTCCGACTGCAGAAGCAAGTAATAGTAGCCATCAGTTGATTATTGGACTGCCAGAACAGAAGACAGTTATACCCCTTGTGATTGTATCAACCTTGACATTCACCTGTCTAGTGATACTTGTTGCTATTCTAATATATTGGAGGTAAGCTTTTCTTTTTTGTCAGCCTCGTTTGTACTCTTACATTTTTGTTGATAATTTCTGTACCTGAACTGGTAAATCCTGTTTGGATAAGAGAGTTAATGAATTCAGATGAATGACTTTAATAGAAAATCATAATTGAAAGTCTGAACATTAGTTTCTTGTTTGAAGTAAAATTTCAACCACATTAAAATGCTGTTAAAATATTAAGAACAATTCTAAATATGCACTGACATTGAGCAAATGGTGGCTGATACTTTTTCAACTAAAGTAATACATTATGCTGGATAAATGGATCAGTGATGGGGTTCAAAAAAATGTATTACCAGTTCTGTGGGCATGGCTTGGTGGATGTGGCATGGTGGGCATGGCAGGGGAAGGATATTGTAAAATCTCCATTCCCACCCCAGTTCAGAGGAAGGATACTGCAAAAACCCCATTTCTTCCCAGTCAGCTGGGACTCGGGAGGCAGAGAATATATGGGAGCACAGCCAGTCAGAGGTGGTATTTACCGGTTCTCCGAACTATTCAAACTTTTTGCTACCAGTTCTCCAGAACTGGTCAGAACCTGCTGAATACCACCTCTGAAATGAATGGTTTTCTGGGTTATGTTATATACAATAGCAGAGTTGGAAGGGACCTTGGAGGTCTTCTAGTCCAACCCCTTGCCGAGTGGATTATTTATTCTGGGACCATTTCTTTGAATTGTTGAGGAGATGATTTCTCCACAACTTAAGGTCCAAGCAAACTACTAGTATGAAGATGCACATCTCCTCAACAATTGAAGCATATTTTGGTGAATCCCTAGTTGTTCTTTATCGCACATTTAAGCCAGTTCTGTTAATATTTGTATGTGAAAACTCATGGATATTGTGATTATTAGTACTTTGTGTAAAATAGAAGTGCAGTGTTTTCAGTTGATATGAGGGATTGGGAACATCATCAAAAAAAGGCATGAATTTCAACTAATAATTGGATCTCAGTTTGTGTCATTGTCTCAAAACACACATTTATCAGATTCATTTTAAAGTGCAAATCAAGCAACATTTCCCATCTCTCTTATCTTCTTGGCACATCTTAATTCTGGATGTGGTAAAGTCACACAAAAACAGATGAGAAATATTAACATTGTTTTGTAGAGCAAGGAATTAATTACATATTGCATTTGAAATACATAATACAGAGACTTACAGGGCATTCTAATTCATCATCTTCAACTCCTCAAAATTTACAGCTTTGTCTCAATGGAAGTTGACAAAAATTTCATCTTGTCAACTTCCATTAAGACTAATTGTTTATTTTGTGCCAGTTAGCAAAGATTTGTGTCTTGGCCATTTCATGAAATGTGCAAAGTTTACGGCAATGTTTAGTCAAGTCATCTATGATTTAACATTATCCTTGCAGCTTCCCACAAGTAAACCTGCTCCCCATAGTATTGTTCTTGCCCAAAAGTTTGAAAATAATAATATAGTAATAAATAGTAAATAATAATTGATGACAAATAATAGTTTGTGATTAGGCAGTAGCCAGCTAGTAACACTTGCAATCTACACACACACACACACACACACACACACACACACATCCCTGAACACTTTCTTTTCCACATATGGCTATCAGGAGCATGTCTCCTTGTCCTCTTCAGGCCATTTCTCTGCTTCAAAGTCTGCAAATTCTAACTCCTGCTGGACTTGAACCAATTTCCTGCCACTTTCCCAGAATAAGAAATCAATTGCTGTACTTGCCATGTATTTGAGGTTATTCTTTTTAGAGCTTCTGCTGTGTTCAGATCCCTCTTTTGACACCATTTAATACTTGTGTCAGGTAAGAAAAGACCAGTGCTGTTTCATACAAGAATAAAGCTTTCCCTCTGTCTTAACACAGAAATATTCCAGAAGTTGGAACTCTATTTGCTTAGAATAGTTTGTGACTTAAACATCTAAACTCCTTTTGATTGAAATTCATCTCATTTGACTTAGTAAATCAGGTTAATTAGCTGAATATTCTGGCTATTTAAGTTGCCCAAATTAACTATTGCTTACATATGTTTTAAGTATTATTTCATCATCTTATATGCTAACTCATGGTGCTTCCATATTTTTTAAAAAAAATCCTAATTTACATCTTGATATTTGCTTTTTCCATTGCAAAAAGTTTAATGAAGCACAATGTAACGAAGTGTATTAAGTCCAGTGTAAAAGATTTTTCTATCCACTATATTATATTAGTATTTAAATCAGTGGAAGCATAATAGATTTGAAAATTAAAAAATCCAGTTTCATTAATTTATGTAATAGTCAGAAAACAAATACAAAATGAAAAAAAAAGAAAGGACTCATTCGGATGAGTGGTGCTTTCTTTGCAGCTGTCTCATATTAAAAAAACATATTTGGTAAATAATATTTCTGATAAAATAAATGATCCATATAAAGTGTTATTAGTAGGCATAATTATCTAAAATTGATTTTTTTAATTAAGGAAAAACTACATTGTTTGAAGCTGAAGCTGATTAGTACTGGTTTTTAATTTGCTAATAGCATGCTCTTACCAGATGCTATTTCTATTATCATCACATCTGGAGTACTGAAAGAATATTCAAATTATGTTATGAAACACAGTAAATGTTTTGACTTAAATTGCTAACTTTCTTTATTGATCAATGAAATGTTCTGTAATCTATAATGAATGGGCATGGATGAGGAGTACAGCAGGGTGATGATCATTTGATTAACTAACCTTTCCTCCCTGAATTTTACCTGTTTTATTGGAAACTACTGGAATCTCTTCACAATGGTTTACTTGTTCATTAAATCCAATATCCCTGGAGAAACATATCTCAGTATAATATAAAAAGGTGCTTGAAAGAGCAGATCCAGAACTAAGCTAGCTAGCTTATCAAAAAGACCTATTAAGGAAGCATTTGGATTTGATTGCAGTAATAGCTTTATTATCACTGAAACATTGAACTTCATTATTAAGAATATGCATTTGAGAGCTACACCCTTGCCACTATGACAGAGATCTGCTATATTTTCTGCATCTTCTTCAGGTAAAAATTGTATTAAAAAAACAGTTGTTTCATTTAATGTTTTGGTGTGATCTAGCCAAAATTAAAGCTTTAAGGTGTTACTGCATATATCTTTTTTTAACTCTCATTTAGAAATCAAGGCAGTATAAATGTATTAAATTTTGGCTGAGGAATGCCCTGTTATTATTTAGAATGTACTGTACTGATGTTGACATGTAGGTGTCAGAACATGTGTGCAGAGGAGGGTTCCCTCCCCCCAAGTGTTTCAGTCCTGATTTAACAGACAAATAACTGCATGTCATCTTAATATTGGGTGGAACTGTGTTACATTTATGTGAAGTTTTGTTTTCTTTTGTTTTAGGAAATGCTTTCAAACTGCACACTTTTATTTAGAGGATAACACATCTCCTCGAGTGATATCCATTCCCCCAGCACCCGTGTTTCCTGTGTCAGGTAGTGTGCTTAGAATATGTTTTATGAAGAATGGCTAGTTTTAATCATGGTGATTAATGCATTGTTTCATTAAATATTGTGAGTTGATGAAGAGGCATGATATTAGTGTGATATACCATATAATTATGTGGCGAATAGACATTCCATTCAGGCTTTTTCACTCAGATTATAAAATCTAAGCATCCAGCAGAAAAACATCAAGATCAGTGCTATATGCAGAATCGAGGTTTATGTTCAACTCTATTTGGGTATCTGATCAGAAGCCTGTTCTAGAAATTTCTGAACATGGTACATAATCATAATCACTTTGAAATGTAATAAGGAGTGACTTCTTCATTTCTAGATGTGGTTCCTAAAAGGCAAATTGTTCGACAATTTTATATTTATACATTAGAGCATAAAGCAAAGAAGTTTAAACTTAGATCTATTTTATCATTGCCTGGTTCATCTTCATTGTTAACAAAGCCTGTATATTTAGATATATAGAGAATATGTCAGGTTTAATTACCATTTGTAGACATTAATCCAAAAATCACTTCTGAAGGGAGATAAAAGCTAAGTGTATGTGCCTTGCATTTAAGAAAATATAAAATTCTTTCAAAAGTTAAATTCCAGGATTAATCACAATACAGGAAAAGCACAAAGAAAAGGCTGGACAAAGAGTCCTTTTCTAGATAAATGTGTGTGGGCTTTATCTCTACCATTCTAGCCAGCTTCAATTGACAATGAACAATGACAATCGCCCTCTCAACAATAAGCATCTGCAATATGCTCACAATATGCTAGAGAGCAATTCTCTAAATAAAATTGTATTCAAGAAGATTTATTTTATGCTGCGTTCCATCTTGTTGAACTGAACTTTCTAAGCAGCCTAACAGTTGCAAACTGACCTTCATACAACTTATCTTTCCATTTTAATTATTTATTTTGCAACATCTGGATCTTTATCCCTTGTGTGTTTATATGTATAGATATTCATATAAGTTTATCCCACTTTATATAACATATAATTTCAATGCCTATTACAAGTGTGCTTGTGTCTTTTCCCTATAGTAAAATTGGATTACTGTGTATTTAAAAGAAAATTAACATATAGTCTAATTTCATTAGGAAATACATTTTGACAGCTTCCTTCACCAAGGTGTGAAGTTATTCTTGCACATTCATGCAGTTTTATGCAGGTTTGAACTGCTAATTTGATCTGTGCATTCAAGCCTATTCAAATAAAAGAAGAACAGATGGATCCTAATACAAAACAGCAAATTATTGTTAGCTGAAGCTTTAAAAAGTTATTTAGCTTAAATAAGGGAACATCTGCTGACATAAATAGAAGTTCCTTGTGTAGTTTTTTTCGATGTTTATTCATCATTTGAAATTACAAAGTATGACATAAGAAGAAGAACATACAAAGCAACCTATTGATCATATTTGGGGGAGGGGGTTAGTTCAGTATCACATTTCTAATAAGATAATCACAGTAGCCCTCCTAAAAACCTAGAAGAAACTCTAGAATATCAGCCACATCATTTAAATATTTTACGGGAAAATGTCATTTCAAACACAAAGCTAATTAAACTTTTATCACAGAAAATGTTTTTATATATTTTAGCTTTTTTTGACTTTAATAAGTTGAGGACCTGAAAAATGTATCTCCTTGAAGTTATGATTATTTAAATGTCAAAGCATCTGGTATGCCCAAATATGGGAGGGAGCATACTGCTTCCCTTTTGCCTTTCAGCTCCACCCTAGGAGTTTTCTAGGCAGAAAACCTTTTTTGTGTTGCATTTGTGCTGATAAATAAATAAATGGAGACTAGTATAGATCTATTTCAAGCTATTTAGCTCTCATCAGTTAGCCAGCTAGCACAAATGCAACACAAAATTTTTTTTCTGCCTGGAAGGCTCCTAGGGTGGAGCTGAAAGGCAAAAGGGAAGCAGTATGCTCCCTCCCATATTTGGGCATACCAGGTGCTTTGACATAACACTTAATCATTTCCTTGGCTCAGCTGATAAGGGAGGAGAGCTTGTGGCTTAGAGCCTAACACAACTGCCTAATGTGTAAAAACAGGCAGGTTTGAATCCCAGTAAGGTTATGGCTAGCTGATGAGAGCTAAATAGCTTTATGCAGATTTCATCCAGCTAAAAACAGTCAATAAAAACATTAAATGAATACTATAAATATCACTGATATTTAGAGTCACTTTTTTAAAATTTTTAAAAAGTTTAAAAAATACTAAACAAACTGGCTGGAGTTTATTCTAAAAGAAAAAAGAAAAGAAACTAGTGAAATAAGGCATTCAATTGCAATGTGGTTATTCTAGTTTTCAGGAGAACCAATCAATCTTGGACCAATAATTAAATGTATATAGTTTGCTGTGCTGATGTATATTTTATCCTAGAATAGATGTGCTTGGTTAATATGTACATTGTGTGTCTTCAGAAACAATTTCCCATGTTTCACTGGTGCATTTCAACAGTGGAGACATCCATCTTCTGACATGATTATGAAGGAACTCATTAAGACTTGATTGGCTTTTAGTGTTCAAAAATAATAACTTAAAAATAAATACTTATTTACAGTTACTTTGTTTACCTTGTTTACATTTCTTCCCCACCCCTTTCTCCCTTTTTCTCAATTTACCTTTAAGACGATGTTGGAGCAATCCCAACAAAACATTTTCCAAAACATGTTGCGGATTTGCATGCCAGTAATGGATTTCCAGAAGAATTTGAGGTACGAACTATTGCTCCTTTAAAATTAAAGGCACAGTTGCAAGTATATTAATAAGTGGTGAAAAAATCAGATTTTCTGAAATTAAAAGAATGAAATGTGAAATGTCCATATTTATATTTGGAAAAGACATGTTTAAACTCAGCCATTTTATGATGAGCACAAAGTGAATTGGGTATTGGGCAATGATCAAGTTGAGTGTATAAATAGTTTTTCATCTTAACATTTTCAGAACATAAGTTTCTGTATGAAAAGAATATCTAGGCCTGTGTGGGGTTGAACCACACTTTTAATTACTATAGTAGAAAACTATAGTAATAATGATGCAAAATGTACCCATAAGAACTAACTTTAAAAAGTGCAAGAAATGATTTTTCTTTTGAGCTTTTTCTGCACGTGGAACATTGGAAGAGAAAATTTTATTCTCTCCTGTAAATCTCCCCATTTCAAACCTATTATTGTCCTGTACTCCCATTTCGCATGTTATACATTTCATAGGTGTGAGGATCGTAGATGAGGACCTGGCTAAAATCCAATTCCTAACTGCAGTATGCTGCTAAATGTGAACTCACCTGAACTCTTTCATCTGATATAGTTGAATTAATTGTTCTCTGTGTTTAAGTACAGCTCTATTTTAGACCCACAGTACTGTAGTTTAAATCTCTTACTTTTTCTTCTGCCCTTTTCCCTTTTTCACTGGGCTTCTCATTCTGTACTTTATGCTCTTGAAGTTGAGCAGTTGTTTGGTTTTGACATAATTGGCATGTCACACCTGAGAACTGCTGCTTCTGATCTTAATTCTGAATAATAAATATGAAAGTAAATATGAAAATCTTGATCAATATATAATAGGATAATATATTGAATTTACCTTATTTACATATTTGTGAGATTCGCAGTGTGTGTTTGGCGGTTAGTTTCATAAGAATACATGTATACATCATGATTTTATTCTCTAGGAAGCAATGCATGAATAGTATTGATATAAGGCATTGAAAACATTGAAAGTAACCCCATTATATACCTAATTTTTGTGTCTTGCATCAGCAAAATAGAAATTTAACTTCATTTGCAGTTCATATATTTTACCAGTTCTGTGCATGACTTATTATTTGCATGTTTTAATGGAAACTTGCCATTAATATTTTTATTTGCAAAACAACTTTGCATTCACCAAGCCACTTTCTGTTGAAGACAATACTACTGAAAAATCACAAGCATTTTTACGCATTATGCATTGAAACAGCAACCCATGATTTAAGATAGCAAAATGATGTATTTCCACTGACTTCAATGAACATTGTATTGTACATCTAGGCCAGGGATGTCAAACTCAAAACCCGCGGGCCAGATCTGTCCCACCGGGTGCTTAGATCTGAGCCGCTTGGCCGCCCTGGGAACAGATTGGCCCATGGTGCCTCTACCAGCAAAAACAGAGCTTGGGAGGGCTACTCGCAAGCTCTGTTTTTGCTGGTAGAGGGTGTGCAGGAAGCTGTTCCACGCAAAAATGGAGCTCAGTAGTCTATTTTTGCTGGCAGAAGGCTCAGGCCACCACAGGCACCCCCCAACACAAGGGATGTCAAGCTGGCCATGCCCACTCCACCCCCCTAACCCCCGAGGTCAAGCACAACCCGGATGCAGCGCTCAATGAAATCATGTTTGACACCCCTGATCTAGGCAGTAAAGTTATGTTTCAAAATGATTGAAACAAAATGATTTAATTGCATGCCTTATATTGGAAATACTCAGCAATGTTCAATTATCAACATGTATATATTTACCGTATATATGTGTATCTCATAACCATAACTGCTTTCCATTGTATTTGTAATATATAAACATTCATTTATGTGCTGTGAAATTTGATTTATTTTTATTTTTGCATTCATTCCTTCATTAGACACTGAAAGAGTTTTATCAGGTAAGGAATTATTTAAACAAATCTTATTTTAGTAAAGAAATAGTGGCAAGATATGGATCTTTGGTGGGGTGGGGCCATGTATGCAAATATACATGTGTATTCAGCAGCATGTTTCTATTTTTCTTTTTTCAGGAAATCCAGAGTTGCACAGTAGATCTAGGAATTACATCAGACAGTTCCAATCATCCTGATAACAAGAATAAGAATAGATACATAAATATAGTTGCCTGTAAGTAATTCTACATATTATTCATTGTAAATAGTAATATGGTGAGAAATTCTAGGACTTGAAGTCCATGTGTGTGTGTGTGTGTGTGTGTGTGTGTACGTACGTACGTACATACGTACGTACGTATGTACGTACCTACAAAACAGGGAACAACCTCTTCTCTGTCTAGTTACCCCAATGAATCTTTTGCTTCTATAGGAACAGTGTGAATTGTCTACAAAAGTAATATTTCACTAAAAATTCACATAGAAGATTTCATGTGTAGCAAAAAAAAAAACTCTCTACCAAAAGCAATTACACTCTGTCTTTGAATCCTGTATATTTTTATTTTGGTTTGTTTTCACCTTATTGTATTATGTCTAGTAAATTTAGGATGGTGGATACCCTATAAATAATTTCTGATTTTTTTAATTTTAGTAGTTCGCTGTTAAGAAAGACTATTATTCCTGTTGCTAAAACATTTTTATTTTCACTTTCTTTCCAATGTAGATGATCATAGCAGAGTTAAACTTACCCAACTTTCAGACAAGGATGGAAAAGTTACTGACTATATTAATGCCAATTATGTTGATGTAAGTTTGCATCTTCCCACATATGGTTGTTTTATTTTTTTGTTTATTGACCATTTTCTATGAGTTTCAACCTAGATCCCTGAAAGATTTCTCCTTTCCCAGCACTAGAGAGAAGTATACCAAGTTACTGAGAAAAAGAAAAAAGAGACCCAGCTGAGAGCTTAAGTCACCAAACCAATAAGTTAAATTAAGAACATTAAGAAAATGTATTATTTAGAGCAGTGTTTTTCTGCTGGATGGGGAAATTTGGGGAGTTAAAGTCCACATCTCTTAAAGTTGCCAAGGTTAAGAAATATTGCTTTCAAGAATAGAGATCTTGGAGATATCTTACATTTTATCACATTCTTTGTATAAAAGAATATGCACTGTAAAAAATAATATATTTATTGTAACCCCTTTTCCTCTCCACAATCTGATATATGAACCTTAAAAGCAGATCCAAAACTGCCATTAAGTATGTGTTGATACATTGGCATCTGCAAACTATAGTGACATCCAAATGACATTAAAAATGAAGTCATCACACAAATGCTGCCATTGCATATTTTCATCCTGATGCCTGTACATTAGTGGTGGATTCTGGATTCCGTTTCAACTGGTACGGTTGGAACAACCCCGGAGTTACTCACATGCATGTGTGCGGTGCGCGTGCATGCATGCACGTGCATGCAGTGCGCGCATGTGTTCTAGTGTCAAATGACACTTCCACAAGCATCCACGACACTCCAGCTGCTCTGTGGAGTGTTGCATAGGCACCATATGCGCCATGCACCTGTGCGGAAGTGTCAACAGCATAAAGCACCGGTAAGGAACGTGGGCAGGCGGGCGGGCACTCCAGAGCACCATTCCAAACAGTATCTGGAGCTCTGGGCAGGATCCAGTACACCC